GTTTAACACAGTGTAAAAATAAAACAATAATGTTAATGAAACACCATAAACACCCTTTGCATTGTTTTTTGTTTAAACACTCACCTTGACACTCAGAAAAAGGCTGAGGTGTAGTTTTTGTTTAATTTAGTCTTTCAATCCAATTTTTTTAAACCATTTGGACATGTAAAAAGTAAATCATTAAAAGAATTATTAAGACACTATTCCCTAACTGGATTTTTTTCATCCTATAGCTATGTTTTTCCATTCCAAATTTTACTACGTCACATTGTATCTCAACGCCTCCTTTATTTACACAGATCCATTGTGTAATCTAAGGTGTACACACAAAATGCTCGCAGCACACATTTTTATCTTGACATCTGTTCCCATCAAAGAAAAAATCATCAATATGGTCTTGGAAACATTCATAAAAATCATACGCTGCCACACACCCATAGACTCGTCCCATCAGCCTGATTACCTGCTGTGAAGACATCTCATCAAATGATGAAAACTGAGTTCTGATCTCTTCAGAGCTCATTCACCCAAGTAGATAAAAATAATTCAACACTTGTTAATAAAGTGCTTTTTATTTGTGTCCTGGCTTCACTGAGGCATGTCTCTGTGGTTTTCTGCAGGTGCTGWGGCTCAGCCTCAGCAGGCGTGTAGCATGTCTGTAAGCGCTCTGTCTCCTCTGCCTCCTCTCACCAGGCCTGACAGCAGCCGCGGCAGCAGCTGCCAACGCAGCCATCGCAGAGGCCATGAAGGTCAAGAAGATCAAACTGGAGGCGATGAGCGGCTACCACAGCAGCGCCAACCACCACGGAGCTGATGGAGAGAACGGAGACCTCAGCTCCAGCGTCGGTAAAAAGATGCACTTTTGCACGCGGTCACAAACACTTGGTAAATACAGGCCTCAGATTATTTTACATATTGAGACTTAAGATGAGTTAATAAATAGATAGTTCAGATCTTTTGAAGCCAGGTTCTGTGGAAAGTCTTATTTATTGTAGAAAGCTTTTTGAACAACCTCTCTTTGGAGAAATATCTAGTAACTCATACATTCTGTGTAAATAAGAATGTATTATGAAGCCGATGCCAATGGAAAGTTTATTAAAACAAAACAAGCAGGAAGTTTTTGAGATTGGAGTTGTTTAAAAATGACATAAATCCATTTCGGCCTTGGCCCAACTCAAACTACTCATTAACTCGTTGGTAAGAATTAAATCCTTGTTCTCTAAACTGAGGTCATTTAAAAAGCTATATGCAGCAGGTAGGATATCAACTTTAAAAAGATCTGAATAATTCCTTTAATGCTGGTTTACTACAATCCGCACAGATGAATATGCCAAAATGGCTTGATATTTACTGTGTAATTTATATATTTATATAGTTTTGTACAAAACTCAAAAAAACATGTACTTAAGTTGATCCTGTATGAGTAAAATGAAAAATAAGTTTGTTTAAAAGTTAGATGCCACTTTTTAATTTGGGCCTTTTTACAAAGGATTTATTATTGCTGTAAAACTTGGTTGTTAGTTTTAAACACTTTATAAACAACCTTTTTGTAAACATTTATGAGACACTGTTCAGACATTTTAGTAGTTCAAGTAAATGTAATTTATTACCAGTTGCTCAGCTTATTTTTTGACTAAACAACTTTATATACAAAACAAAGTTTGTGTTTTTAGACGGTCATCACTCACACATGCAGGTAACGCACTAACAAATATTTGATATTTAAAATCTAAATAATGAATAAAAATAAAAGTACAGCAATTGATCTAATAGCGAGCCTACTTCAGTGTATGAACAGTGCATTATAACTGTTTAATAAATAATTAATAATTGATTTTGTTTACAAACTTATACAAACCTATGTACAAAGCAATAATAAGTCCTTTATAAATAATCTCATGTAGAAAAGTGATACCACAAGATTCTCAACTTTATTTGTGCAGCACATTTAAAAACAACTGTTAGTACAATACCAACAATAAAAAGACAAAACAGAATGGAAGACCAGAGGAACAATTAAAACAAATATGATAAATCATGAAAACAAACCACAGAAGCACAAGTCAACTCTTGCTACTAAATTAAAGGCTTTTGAAAACAAATGTGTTTTGGGATAAGATTTAAAAACACCAAGAGTTAAATCCTATCTGATGTGAAAAGACATATATTAAAGTTAAAAAAACACATTGATTTGATTTNCCACTTTTTAATTTGGGCCTTTTTACAAAGGATTTATTATTGCTGTAAAACTTGGTTGTTAGTTTTAAACACTTTATAAACAACCTTTTTGTAAATGTTTATGAAACACTGTTCAGACATATATTAAAGTTAAAAAAACACATTGATTTGATTTTAGGAACTGTTCAGTGACACATTAAGTTTTGCCTGACAGAATTCTACAAATGTGTCTGGCAACTCAAATCTGGTTTCRTTTGCAGTCCAACTGTTTATTCACGACTTATATCACGTTTAATGAGTTTAAACGTGATTTAAAAGTGATATGTACAGTAAATGTGTCAGAGTTCATTTATCAATCAAATCAAATCAACTCTTCTCAGAGATATTGACCAAGAGCAACACTTTTAACTTCAGTGTTAAACATGGAGAACTCCATTTTTATTGAAAGGATTTTTGTTGTGAGCTGCATCACACAACAAATGCAAACTAACAAATTATTTGTAAGTGGAAACAGTGAAATGCTTTTTGAAATCCTGTTGTTACACTTAACGTTTTTGCTTATCAGCCTCTTTTATTGTAAATAAAACACAAAAGCAACAAACATTTAAAATATTTTGACGCATATGGGTTTTGTCTTTTCCTCGTAAACAATGACTCCATAAAGTAAAAAAAAAAACTTAATCACTAACAACTTGTTTTTCTGTGATCAATTATCTAAGTTTCTGTCAGTTTTCAGCCTAAATCCTGAAAAGGCTCTGAGGTCTTACTCACACAGCTCAACATAAACCAAAGATTTGCATGATATTTTCAGGATACTCCTGTTCTTATATGCTCTGTMAGATGTTAAGCTATTGATTTTGCTGCATTTGTGCACACTGGAAGTCAAAATTGGGTAATAGGCATCTGTTTTCTTTCTCAAGTCTTTTAATGTTGAAAGAAAATAAAACAAATAGCTTAATTGCTGAGTGAAGCTGTGAGCACAGTTTACCAAAGCTATCAGCTTTTTAACAGGATCTAATTGAATTGCTGTGAGAGGGTTTTTTTTCCCCACTATGTGCCATTTCAGTTAATTATTAGCACTAAAAAGCAGAAGGTTTTCTGTAATATCACACACAAGCACTTAGTGAATTAAAGAGAATGATAATGTACGTTAGCGCAGATTCATGAGCCTTTTCAGAATTATAAACCAGATGTAGCTTTGGTTGCTTAAATTAAGCTCTTTATTCACTTGCTGTAATAAATGGCCACGTGAATGCATTTCTGCTCTGTGGTGTGCGGGATGAAAACAGGATGTGTTTCAAAGCCGATTTAACAATGCAAAATGCATAAAGTGTGAGGTCATCACTTGGAGAGAATGGAGTGTGTAAAAAAAAAAAAAGTAGAATACGAGCCTGCGAGGTCACGGAAATAAAGATAAATGTAAGCACCAGCAGCAAGGCTGTGGCAATGGAGCTAATAAGAAGCTGTTTTATCTTTTTACAATTTAAATTGTAACCTTGAGTCCACAGCCAGCCAMACGGGCTCCCGAAAGAATCATAATTTTGGCAAAAGGGGGGGGGGGGCAGTTCTAGAAGCACGGGCCGCAGCATTAGCTCCCTGAGTGAAATATATGGCGGCGACGCCTCTCAGCCCCATCCACAATCAATTGGATTCTTTTCCTTTAATATTTACTCGCAGCGATGAGATGCTCGTCTGCATGGTGATGAACAGTCTGCCACTGGCGTTTGAAGGTGACCTGTCAGTGGCTATGGACAAATCTCTCGCTCGCAGAAATGTAGAAAATAAATCATTAGGGGCAGGCAGTCAGACAGGGGCCCCTTCTCTCTGCCTCACTCTCCTCGGATTTAAATCAGCTCAGATTTATGATTTGAATTAATGCTTCGTTTGGTCAAAGGAATGCTCGCAGAGACAAATGATGTTGGGTACTGAAACCATCCTAATATTGATTACTGGGTGTCGCGGCAATCTCTTGTTTATATCAAGCACTCTCCTGTGACAGGGTGGCCAGCAGGAGTCATCCTGATAATACGCCAGAGATATATGGCCCGCTCTGCACTGCAGAGCCATGAAACCGAGCAAACAGCATGCTGTCGTTTTCATCTCTGCACAGATTTCTAACTCTTCTATGGATTTTGTAATTTCACACACACAAAAAAAAATTTAAATAAATAACAAAAAAAAATAAGCGCAGACTCTCTGGGAAGCGTGACGGCGGAGTTATTTAACATTCCAAAAGTGCCTCGCTCTGATCTGATTTATGAGTCTGGCCATTTTGGAGTGTGAATACGTAGCATGTTCGGCTCTTGAGCTTATTATCAAATTGCAATCCAAATATATAAATCACTTGACTGATACAGTGTGGAGTGGGCAGAAGGGGGAAACGGGTTCTGGCTGCCGTTTTGTTGCAACTCACAAAGCTGACTTGGGAATTACTCCATGYTGTTTTTTTATTTTTTATTTTATTTTATTTTATTTTTTGTTTAACAGGCCCACACCGCAGCTGCTCGGAAGAAACGGACTAACGTTTGTTTTTTTTTTTTACAACCAGTCGGTTTAAAAAACCGTTGTGTTTATTTAAACAAATCATGTTACCACCAACACAGGTATTGATATGATAATGAGCCCACTTCTGACAACACCACTAAGGATGCAGATCAGGTCAATGTAGAGAGCAGCTCGCTACATAAAGCCATTGAAGGGAGGAAAAAAGAAAAACCTTCTGCAGCTTGAAACACAGGTGCTTCGTCTCAGTGTCTGTCTGAAGCAGATCTTGTGCTGTGAAGTGCTCCGAGCCGGCGAGTGAAGGACACTCTGTACTGTTTGTGGAGTTGGATAGCTCGCCGCAGTCTTTGTGTTGATGTAAATTGAACAGGCTAATGTTTCTCTCTCACATTAAATATTAATTACAATTAGACCTTCCTGTTTGCGTCAGTGTTATTAATTATGGGATTAAAAAGAGAAACACCCCCCTCAAAAAAAAGAAAAAAAGAAGGAAAAGTGTCAGCAACAAATTCTCGTGAGGAGAGGTGGAGGTAAAGGTGTGTACGGTGAGGTTGTCCCCCCCCCACACACACACACACACATACACACACACACAGTCTTTAGTTGTGCAGAGAGAGCCCTCTCACAGCACAATGTGAATTGTTCCTGCGCCTCTCAGGAAATGCCACAATTACAGATCACAGACCAAACAAAACATGTGTGCTGCTTGGCCTTGAGGGGGATAAACCGCCCGCCGTTCTCTCCCAGTGCATTGACCCCAGCCGCAACCTTCATTACTGGCAGAAAAATTATTGTCAGCTGCCCACTAACAAACACCTGCCAGTTTCAAGAGAAGGAATTTTTTTTTCTGTCATCCACTGAAGAAATATAAAGTGTTTATTTCCACCCACAAAAACGAGMAAAGTGCGTTTCCCTGTCTCACTTACGTCTCTGTCTTTCACCCTGTGTCTCTCTTTGGCCACCGGGTGCTGCCCTGCCACTCATCTGACTCCTCACCACGCTGCACTAATGGAGCTGAAATCCTGTTTGTAATTAGATATGGGAATTCCGCTGTCATCAGCCAGATGATGCCACAACATGCCGACCAAACAACTCACCGAAAGACAACACCGCAGACAGAAGGAGACACAACAGTTGTTGCTTTTCTTTCACGTTCTTTTGCATTTTGACCCGTGGCATCTCACAAACCCTTAGGAACGGTTCCA